ATGAACAGGTAATTCTGAAGTTTTGCTGTCTTAATTTAATATTGAGCAATATTGCTCCCATGCCTATAGTGTCAAAAAAGTAGTGCCCTTTTCATTAGCAAAGCACTTTGAATTTCATGCTTTCTAAATACGCTGTCAATGAGCTAGGGTGCAAAATGTCAGTTATTTGCTGGTGGGAGGAAATTAACTAGCATGCTCAGGCAAGCTAGTTTGCTTTACAGGATGCAAAAGATTTGCATTAGTTTTTTAGGCTCGTTATCTGTGACAGCGTATTTAGAAAGCATGAAATTCAAAGTGCTTTGCTAATGAAAAGGGCACTACTTTTTTGACACTATAGGCATGGGAGCAATATTGCTCAATATTAAATTAAGACAGCAAAACTTCAGAATTACCTGTTCATCAGTGGATCAAAAGCTTCCACTGTGTTCAGGTATGCATTGCCATTATGACCACCGACTGCAAAAATTTTACCCATCAGTGTTGCTATACCAACTCCACCCCTGGGGGTTGTAAGCTCTGCAACATATTCCCACTGGTTACTGCGAGGATCGAACCGTTCAACAGAGCTCAGTGGAGAGTTGTCATCAAAACCACCTGCAAAGAGAAACTGCATTACTGTTTAGTAATGTCTGTATCCACAACCTAGCAAGCTGTATATCCAGCATTCAGATTATCTGTATTTATTACACAACAGTTGTTTGAAAAATAGACCATTGTACAGCTAGCCCTACCTAAAGTACATAAATCTACAAATTTTGACCCCAGCAGGTTTTGAAACTGCAAGGAAAAGGCTTCCTCCTTCTCTCCAGGATGACACAGTGTTAGAATCCTGAGAGGGCTCTCGTAAGGGATGCTACAAGCAAACATTACCATAATACGTTGGCAAAACTTAAGGGAGTTGGTTTCATTTGAAACCCACCACTCTGTCAGCCTACACTTGTTTCATTAGACTTGGGAGGCAGTCAACTAGTTCTCGCAGCATCTAACAGTTCATAACAAGGCTGTCCGACTTCTATGCCCTGGGAGCCACACCAGGCAAAGCAGGAGGATGCTCCTCCCCACCCACTGCTGCACTATGCTTCCTAGCAGGTGTGGGAGAACGATTCTCTCACCCCCTCCACTGCAACACACTGGCATTATTTCCTACACAGCCCCAGGCTCACCCTCAACTCCCTGCACTGCCCCAGCCCCTGGGATAAGGCAGGAAGCAGAACCCAGAGACGGGAAGTGGGAGCCTGGAAATTCTGGCTGCTATTGCAGCTGGAATGATTAAGGGAGAAGTGGGGAGAGGGGAAGAGTGCCACATGGGTAAGAACCCAAGGGCTGCATATTAACCCTGTGGTCCACTAGTTGGACAGATCTGGTTTGAAGCTCCACTGGAGAAAGATGCAATAGCTACAGATCAATCTGGAGAAAACTGGTGATGGCAGCAAATTAGGGAAAGGATAGGGTCCATTTGCTCCCTCTTTTATCCTTAGCTTTATGTATGGTTTGTTATTTGTTGCCTCAAGGTTATGAGGGATTCTCACTCTAAAAGGTACAGGAAGCATAATTTCCAGTTTCTTTTCCACCTATATGATAGGAAGTCAGGACGCTATTACTTCCAATGGCAGAATTCACAACTTACACCTTTACCTACCCCAGTCTGTCTACAGACTGAGTACTGTATATGGGGCCACATTTGAAAACCAGAAACTGAGGCTAGTATAGAATGCAGCAGCACTTCTCACAGCCAGGCTGTTACTGCTTAATATTTTGTAAAGCAGAGGTGCTCAACCCCCAAGCTGCAGGCCAAGTGCAACCCACAGAGCCTTGGAATCTGGCCCGCAGGGCTCCCCATGGGCTGGGAAATGTGGGGGCAGGGGAGCAATGGCAATCAATACTGTGATCCTCCCCTCTCCCAAATTCCAAAAACCACATGCTCCAAGCCTTATGCAGCATAGTGGAGCTAGGCCATGCCCACCCCCACCATGGCTGAATTAGGGCTGGGCCACACTCCCTCCCGCCTCACAGCTGGATTGGGAGTGGGCCATGCCCCACTTCTCCCTAGGGGGTCAGGTTAGGGCCCTGTTAAATTCCATCCCCCTCTCCCAGTCTTGCTCCACAGGTGACTGCCCCAGGTGCCAGATCAGGACCACTGGCCAGATCCAGCCCAGGTCATCGCTGTAAAGCACATGAAACTTTGTGTCTGAATAAAATTTAAAATCCTGGGGGTTCAGTCTTTACTCTGTGAAGCTACTTCTTTCTTTTGTCTTCTTTCAGCAGTGACAAATGAAAGTAAGCCAACTAACAATTTTAAGTTTATGGCACTGCAAGCAGAGAACTGGGGACAAAAAGCCCCCATATCACTTCCCTCTCCCTTTGGTTCATTTGAAACAAACCATCTTTTCTGTAGGCCCCCCACTACAGAATGGATGAAGACAGATTGAACAAAGTCCAGTGGAGGGCAATGAAAATGGCTTCACCATTTTCATTGCTGGGGGATGAAAATTCAGGGCTGGGGGATATGACTTCTGAGGAGAGGCTGAGGGAACTGGTCATATTGAGTCTGGGGAAGAGAAGACAGGGAGGGGATTTTAATAGCAGTCTTCAACTACCTGAAGGGGGTTCCAAAGAGGATGGAGCTAGACTGCTCTCAGTGGTGGCAGATGACAGAACAAGGAGCAACAGTCTCAAGTTGCATCAAGGACAGTTTAAGTTAGATATCAGGAAAATCTCTCTCACTAGAAGGGTAGTGAAGCACTGGAACAGGTTACCCAGAGAGGTGGAATCTCCATCCTTGGAGGTTTTTAAGACCTGGCTAGACAAAGCCTTCGCTGGGATGATCTAGCTGGTGGTAGTCCTGCTTTAAGCAGGGGGTTAGACTAGGCCTCCTGAAGTCCCTTCCAACCCTACATTTCTATGATTTCACAGTAAGCAATTCTCAGATGTATTTCAAAGTCCACTTAGACCTTCAGTGAGAGGACTGAGTTCTGTTGCATTAGCTAATATTGAATACTGGGTCATTTCAGTCTCTTTTTTACAAATACTTTAAAAATGCATCTAATCTGTTAGGTATCTTATGTAAGGGAAAAGAAAAAGCTCCAACTCTGATTTTTACACAGATGGCTAACATTTTGCAAAGCTTAATAGTAACCAGTATGCATTTACTGATTTTTTACTTAATGTTTGATTTAACTGAAGTTCTAATACAACTTGAAGCCACAAGTAAAACCTAAATTGAGGGGGAGGGGAACATATAATCAGCAACACGTACTTCATTGATGTAGTTGCTAAGTGAATGGAAGTACAGTTAACCCCTGCTTAGCACCCTTATTTGCTTCCAGAAAAACAGAGCACTAAGCAAAACAGCGTTAATTGAAACCAATTTTCCCATAGGAATGAATCTAAGTAGAGATGATTCATTCCCAGAGCTCCCTACTTGTACTATAAAATTGCTGAAATCCCCCACTAGGTACTATAAAATCAATTAATTCAAAATCTAAATGTATGTAAATACTTTATTTAACACTTTGAACTTTGAAATAATGTATAAGATTACAAAATCAAGTAATGAACTGTATGCACAGATGCACTTTCACTTTTTGCTCTTTCAGCTTCCTTCAGCACTCAGAATCAGAGCTGTCAAGGTTAGTGTCAGTTTCAGGAAATTTTGAAGTGCTTGCTGAGGATTTTTTTGAGGGCTGGCTGAAGGGGTTGAAACCAGAGTTGTGCACTTCCTGAAAAAGGAATCCATTGATAGCTTCTTTTCATCGTACAGCAGCCTGTAACAATTGACTTCATTATTAACTAACTCCTCGTGCAATTGCAGAACTGCACTGCATTTCTCAGGGTCATTCTCATCAAAGTAGGAATAAAAGCTTCAAGCCAGGTCTTTGCTGGTTAAAGCCCTTGCTGGTTGAACATCTTCCTCGCATCTTCCTCCTCTCCATGGGTTCTCTGCTGCTGTATTTGAATGAGGTTCTCATTGCTCAATTCCTCCCTGTTGGAATTGATCAACTCCTGAGGTTCAAGTTCAACTATCCTCAGGTTCAAGTTCATCAAATCCAATTTTCCTTCCAAGCTCAATGATACAGTCCTGAATTATCACCACTGGTTCCTCAACCTCTTGGGAATCCTGGACACAGTCTGCCCAAAGCTTTCACTAGACACCAGTCACTGTTTTGGAGGCAACTTCATCCCAGGCACTTGAAACGTTATCTATTGCCTTGCAGATATTATAGCCCTTCCAAAATTCTTTTAGGCTTGGAGTACCCTCTCTTTCTGTAGTCCTGACTGCCTGGGCAAATGTTTTCCTTATGTAATAAGCCTTAAAGGCAGCAATGACACTCTGGTCCATCAGCTGTATGATGGAGGTGGTATCTGGGGGCAGGAAAACAACTTTTACATTATCACTGAGGTCATCAAGTGTGGTAGGATGTCCTGGTGCAATGTCTAAAATGAGAAGTGCCTTGTGATACAGATTGTTCTCAGCACAATACTTCTCAACTGCAGGACAAAAATAATCCCTGAACCAACTCTGAAAGACTGACATTGTCACCCAGGCCTTCTAGTTAGACTTCCAAATGACTGGCAGACTGTTTTTAAGATACCCCTTGTGAGCCCTGGGGTTTTCTGAGTGGTATACAAGCAATGGTTTCAATTTAAAATCCCCTGCAGCATTACAACCAAGCAATACATTAAGTAGATCCTTGGACACCTTGAAACCTGACATTGACTTCTCCTCCCTGGAAATGTAGGTCCTAGGAAGCATCGTCTTCCAGGAGAGGCCTGTCTCATCAGCGTTGAAGACTTGCTGATGCGTATAACCCCCTCCTCAATAATTTCCACAAGCTTACTTCTATAGCTGGAAGCTGCTTAGGTGTCAGCACTAACCGCCTCCCCCTGAACAGAAACATTATGCAAGTTGCTGTGCCTCTTAAATCTTTCGAGCCACCCCTTACTTGCATAAAAAGGCTCAGAAGCAGACCCCTCAGGCAAAATTTTCTGTAAATCGTCATACAGACTCTCTTAGCCTTCTTCTGAATAAGCAGCATACAGCGTTGAGTTGTATCCTCAATCCACACACTTAACAGCCTCTCCATTTCTAACATAATTGGAACCCTGCTCCTTCCGAGTTTCAAAGCATTCAAAGCAGTTACAATTCTACCATATTCTTTTATTTTGTCTTTATTCTTCAATATGATCCTAACAGTTGACCCAGCCAAATTCAATGCTCTACAGACCTCATTCTGGCATTCCCTGCTTCAATTTGCTTCAGGACATCCAATTTGAGCTCCAGTGTTACACTTTTTCGCTGTTTTTTTCTTAGCACTTGCACTCTCAGAGTCAGCTGAATGGCTCCGATGCACAGTGCAACTCAAAAAACGAAACAAGACACAAGCACGAAAGAGCACAGAGCACAAGAGTTTTTGACAAAGCAAGATGGCAATGAGGCTGCGCGTCGCTGATGCTCCCTGCCCGATACCTGTGAGCATTATAGTAAAACCCGTGAGGGCTAAATGAAACCAGGTATCAAAGTGAAATGAGCACTATAGCAAAACAGCGTTAAGCAGGGGTTGCCTGTAGTAAAAAGATAAGACCCATACTGAGGG